TGTGAAAAGGAAAAATCAGTATGAGTCAGATAGTAAATTCAGAGGATGTGCACGGCAAATTCAGCTCTGTGTCGCCTTAGCTAAATAGATCTCATTTTCTCTAGTCACAATGTTACACTATCGGATTTTGATACAAAAGGAATATTTCTTGAGATTTCACCATATTTTACCCGGATTTTCTTCGGGAACATAATGCAATCAGGGTCAATTGCATTCACCTCAGACTCACTTTGAAGTTGAGATCAAAACTTATACACAGTAGTTTTATTAAGACGCCCTCTCTTTGTCTAAATCCTTTCTACTTGTCATAAGAACCATATTAATAGGTTTTTCTCATGTATTTCTCAATTATGGTTTGTCATATAAGTGACATTTAATTTCAGGATGAAAGTGAGAGTGGTTAAATGTTTTACAGTTCGCCTGTGAGTTTTATCGTAAGGTAACGTTTGCCATATGTGAAGAAAACATTCACGCTTGGACTTTCAGAGAATGTATACCTGCAGATATTATCTGCACATTATTATCGTCATTAGAATCTAATATTCTGCGAATGAGGCAGTAGTAAACCAGATAATAAATCTTGATCGGACGTTTTCCTGAAAGCTTTTTCAAAAAAACAGGTTCGTCTGGACGTAAAGCTTGACGCGACGTCCAGCCCTACTAACGGCATACAGGCCGTGAAAGATGGGCAGCATGACTTTGTTGCAACGCCAGGACCGTTACCATGTCCTGACTATACGCAGGTTGCGCGATTCGATGGGCGTCATTTTAACTTTTTGGACTTCTTCGTCCTTAACTGGCATCTTGGCTGAAGTCAGGGAGTACGTCATAACGTACTCTCGGACATTTCTAAAATATTGTCGTTTTCCAGACTAGTGTGGACGGGATTCTCGGACATTTCGGACTAGTCCGGACGCAAGTCCACTTTTTTTTCTTTACCTGGGTATGAATAACAATGATTAGATGTGGAGATAAATAGCATTTGAAACAAATACGGTAGAATATATAGTCTTGTAAATAGAATGATGCTGAAGACAGATAGACGTTTGCGTATGTGAACAAAAAATATAAAGAAAAACGTTCGTGGAAGAGTATAAACACCATGTGTATACATAGACTATGGGAAAAAAAGCACATAATCTTTCTTGTGATGTATGTTAGTTTGCTCTCAGAAAAGGCTGATTTTTCAAGAGTAACTAATACGACACTATGCAATATATCTGTTCCAGCTATCTTCTTTAGACGGTTTTATTCTGTTGATTTCATGTTCGGTTTTACTCGGTCATTTCTTCGAGAACATGATCCAATCAGTTTTTTATCTATCATTGAGTTTCCACTATAGATATTCTTTACCTACAAAGAAAGATAAGACATTTTTGACGCAGAATAGTTTTGAACATTTTTCGAAAACATCAAGTTTGGTATTAGCATAAGTTTATCCAGCTGAGGCCGAAGAAGGTAGCAACGCTTCCTTGGTCTAAAAAACAAATTTTCTTTTTTCTTTCTAACTTTTGATGGCATATCTTCGTTAATACTCCTATCAACAACCTCATAAAATATGTTTAAAGCTTTATCAACATTACTGATGAACAGAAAGGATTCAGAAATGAATAACTGACTTGATCTGCTCTTATCTTAATCACACCTACTAAAATCCCTTACCGTGTGCGTAGTTTGGTGCGTCAACTGGTGTTCGTTACATATATAACTCAATAGCGACATTTTTCAGGAAAATGATGACTTTTGAAGTGAGAATCTCGATTTGTTCAGTTTTTGTGACACTAAGTTTACTCACCGTAGTCCATTTGTTCCTCTCTTATCGAAATGTAATATCCCTGTAATGTAATGCAATCCTCCTTTAATGTAATGCAATCCTCCTGTAATGTAATATCCTCCTATTTTTTTTATTGGACCGATGGTTCACTCATAAAACATGTCGCTATCTATAATTTAGCGACAATTTTATTCGTTCTATTCAGTTTTAAGATATAGCAATATGTTTTATCACTTCTATTCAATTTGAAGATATGGCGACATGTTTTATTAGTTCTATTCAATTTTAAGATTGAGATATTACATACTCATCTGATTTACAGGCTTTTTCGATTGATAATGAACAATGACCCAGTTTGACAGAACAGGGATGTGTAAAAAACGATTAATATACCAACAGAATCAAATATACAACTATTTTTAGTCGTTTGATAGTGCAGCTAGCGAAAAGAAATTAATATATATTCTTTCTAGAAATTTTGAGTAGGGAGGTTCAATTTAGAAGGAATTATGCGATATTTATTTTGACTGTGATGGCCAAGAATGGCTGTATTTCTTTAAAAGTTCTTCCAGTTTTTTCTACATGAGCGGTCAAACAGTATCAATCTATTACGTTTGTAGAATTTAAACTGCTCTTTAATTTGGCGAAACAACCATCCGCTAATTTTGTTTAATTTTTGAGATATACAACTTTTAAAATATCGAATTTGCGATCGGGTTTTGAGCGTAAAACCTGACCTATGCAGTATGTACCTACCATTTTCTGGGAACAGCTAGAGAACGTGGTTATGCGTTTGGACAAATAATTTAAACTTTGGCTTCTGCATTATCAACGAGTTATACAAAAAAATAATGAGCGAGGGCATCAGAAAAGGAGTGAATATCCAGATCTGCGTAACCATCAGTCCGATAAAAAAACTAAGTATCTCAGTAGATGCGTTATGTAAGAAAATTCTTAGCAACCAGAGGTAGCCGAAATTCGATGGATGATGGTTGCTCTGTAAAGTCGAAATTTGCCATCTTTCTTATGTACTGCTAGTATAACAGCTTCTTTCCATACAGACGGGAAAACTCCAGTTGAGATCTAGTGTAATTGCGGTGAGGTGACGTCAGCACAAAGTTTTAGAGTTTTGACTGGAATTCGATCAATACCTAAAGAAGTTTTGTTTTTTAACCTATTTATATCTTGAAAAACATCAGATACATCAATAAGTTACATAAATAAAATGTATGATTGTTAACTGTCAAAGAAATAGGTCAGCCCTATCTTCACTATTAAAATGCTAGTAGTTGTTCTGTGCACGAATAGGCATAATGATATGTTAGGTCTATTCTTCTTTCATTTTGCTGTTCTATATTATGTCAATAGTTTCTCTTCTTTTTTCAATAAACCTTATATATTCTCTTCTTTTTCATACGATTGGCGCAGTCGATATTAGCTGGAATAAGAAAATACGAGGATACTTTGTGGGCTTAAGTTCAGATTTGATTCTTGTCCAAAATCATACAAAAGAGTGACGAAGAGATAGGTATGTAGTGAAGCCAAAAAGCGAATGTAATCATATGGTATACTACTGTAAAGTGTAAAACGTATAACAACTTTATCATGCGAGCGAGTGAAGTTTCAAACCATTCATTAATCATATAGCTTCTAAAACAGTACGTTCACCGAATGACTTTCACCGCATTTCCTCTTGAAATCTTTAACTCTTCACCTGTTATTGCGGATCCAGAAGTGCCTCTGATTGAATCTCGACATGAATACAATTTTTTCTACCAGTCGATAGCTTATGAAATTATCTTGCTCTAAAAAGCAATCCACATGCTTCATTCTCTTTTTATAACAATTTGACGAATGGGTCATGGGTGATCCCGTGGTAGATAAAAGGTTAATGTGGAAGAGGAAAGGAAGTTCTCAAAATCGAGCAATATCAATTCTGCAGATTTCACTTTAAATCTATTGTTCTACAATCAATCTTTTGTTCAAAATTCATGAAGAGGGCATAACAGCTTTCTGATGGGAAAGAAAAGGTTGGATGTGCAAAATAACGTATGCATCCCTAGATAAGAATTTTAACATTTACGACATCTACAGTCTATATGTTCGGATCGTACTAGGAATCCGCTTAGTTTTATGTAAAATCTCACAGAATTCGACGCCTTTTTGAATGTCTCTCATTTGAGTGTTCCAAGCAAAAACCATCTATGAGAAAATCTAAAAGGAATTCTGGTAAGTTGTGTTTACCATGCACCAAACCTGTTCGGTCACCGAACGGTTCGCTACTTAATATGTTCGCTGCCGATAAGCGAGCCCTAGCTTGCGATGGTTGCATGCCTGATCTAGACTAAAGGCAAATTGAATGAAATGTGCCTTCTACCGGGTCGCTATCGAACGTGTTCGCACAAAGATTGTAAATCCGATAGTTTATATTTTTCTCATCAGAGACATCGACGAGCGCTCTGTTGATAAACTATTGGGACAAAGTACCATAAACCTTATAAAGATACATTCAAATTAGAACTGCAACTGTCTGTCTACTTTTTCCTGCACAGTGAGAAAAACCATTTTTGCATGAAAACAAAGTAAATCAATCTGCTATACCGAGGCCACGTTAGTAAGTAATTAGAGAGTAAATCAAATATAATGGAAACTAAAGGTACTTTCAACTTCCTGGAATAAAGTAATAAATTTGCTGCTCTGATTCAAACTTTTCTTTACATGACTACCTACGGCTACGGTGTAATCAAGGCTGCTCCTCCGTTTGGCGTAATCTTCACTATTTTTTCTGTTTCACAAAGATTTCTTTCATGTGTTCCTTCGTTCTCATGTTCTTAGCTTTGACAAACTATTTTTTTAAACCTTTGGCAGCGATTCAGTAGAAGACACATTCGTTCACATTATACTTTAGTCTATTTTCTTACTGGTTAGTTCCCTCAAAAGCTCAAATTTCATTCAATTTGCCTTTAGTTCAGATCAGGCATGCAACCATCGCAAACTAGGGCTCGCTGATCGGCAGCGAACATGTTCATTAATGAACCGTTCGGTGCCAATTAGTGATTCCTAGTTTGAATTGTTGCATGCCTGGTAAGGTTGTGCTAGAAAATTCATAAGTGTCTTACTAGAAATATATGTATATTTAGTTTTGGTACGGAAACTGTCTTCGACAATAAACAAATTAAATTATAAATATATATTAACAGCATTATTTACGTAGCTATTTTTCAGTATGTCCAGTCAGTGCACACTTTTTACACCATGCAGTCAAGTTTCAAGGTACGTTCGATGTCAGAACTGTGGTGTTCAAATGAATCAAATCAGTTGGAAACAATGTGTAATATGCAAAAAATTTAATTTATGTGATGAATGTGCATCACCAGATATTGAATTAGAATCTGCATCCATTGTTTATCATACGCAATTACATAAGAATATTGGATACAATGAGTGTATCGTTCTGAGAGAATGTATGCAATTGACACAAATCACGAAAAATTTCGAAGATGAAGAAACAAGAGCAGAAGAATTTTCTCATATAATGAAAAAGAATAAAATTCAAAATGATTATGATATGTCTATTGTTGCTGGAACATTAAAGGAAATGGGAAATAGTTCACAATTGCCATTTAAACAACAAGAGCAGCAACAATTGTCTTCCATGATCGTAGACTATCATACACAAGGATACGGAAGAAATATACATATATTAAGCTTAGATGGGGGCGGTAATTGCATCAGAATCGATTTTCATTAGATGTACACATTTACTCTTATATTTGTTATTTGTAGGTATACGTGGTTACATGCCTATTCAAATTATATCTCAGTTAATAGCAAAGAAATATCTTCCCGATATTGGACAATTTAATTCTAATGATTCAGAACATAGAGAACGATTTAAACAAGTTCAATCACAATTTACAAATAATTTTGATTATTTTGTTGGTACTAGTACTGGTGGACTTATTGCTTTTTGTTTGGCAGTTAACTATGATATATCAGATGTAAAAGAAATATATTCAAATTTTTCTTACTACTTCGAACGTAACTGGCTTGGTCCTTCGATAGCAGCTAAATATGATCCCAGTCGTATACACAATAAAATTGACGAAATTATCAGTACAATTACACTGAAAAATGGTAAGAAATTATCAGCTGAAAATGCTACTTTACTTGATATACGTAATTTCTTAAATCCTGATAATATGATTAATGATGATGATGGATTAACATCAATATGTTCTCATGGAAATCTGTTAGAATTTGTTGATGATATTGAACAATATAAAAATGAAACTTGCAATATTCATCGTGTTAAACGTGAAAAAGTTTTGCTTATTGCTGCTTATAACACAACAATCAGTAGTATTACTATATTTAATACAAGTTATGCTAAACATTGGCAGTATCGTATAGCAGATGTATTAAAGGCGACAATGGCTGCTCCTACATATTTTCCACCACATAAACTATACAAAGGAAAAATTGAAAACGGTCATTTTGTGCCATTTAAGCATCATGAAATATTTATTGATGGTGGTGTATTTGCCAATGATCCAGAATTGATAGCTATATTTGCAATACGAATGCAGTGGAAAAAAATTATCAATTATCATTTACTTTCTATAGGTACAGGGCACTATGCTGACGACTTATCAGCTCCAAACTTGAGTGGCTATCTAGGATGGATAGTCAACAAAGGATTACTCGTTAATACATTCCTTGAAGCTACACGTAGTTTTACGGAAATAATTACGAATAATTTATCTAAAGCTAGTGATATCAAACGGATGAAATTTAATTTTAGAATAAAAAAACCTATGGAATTAGATGATCCGAGTTTTATCGACGAATTTGATAAAGAATGGAAATTTTTGCAAAATGGAGAAGATTTTCAAACATTAATGACTTTTTATGATAAATATATTTATATGGGATCAAATTAAGTTGAAAAGTCATGAAAATGTCATACATGACCTTTAGGCGGCTGTTACATGATTCTTTCTATCAAGGAGAGTTGAAAAATATTGAATCACCAATATATTTTAAATACTTCTAAACTATGAGAGATCTTTCGAGGAATCTATTCTTTTTTCATTTAATTCATCTTACAGGAGAGGTGTAAAATGTTTTCTTTCATATTTCACTTTTAGTAATGGTCTGTTTATTGAATAGAGTGTTCGCTTTTTTTTGTGTTAAAACTACTTTGATTGCACACATTGGTGTAATAAATATTCGCTTCTGATAATGTAACTGCTCAAGCACGAAAAAACATCGTGAAGTGACCGTTCGCAGCTAACTGATACAATTTTTTCACAATCCTGTGTGAGTACCATATTTTTACATCTGTCAGATGGCGAAAAATCGAATGAATCCAATATTTTACAAGGGTGAGATCACTTTTTGTAACGTGCTATTAGCAGTGTATTTAAACGTGCGAGACACTACCCAGCTCAAACAGAAGGATATGTTAACACTACAAAAATGAAGCAATAACCGTACGTTTACGTACTCCTATTCAATCATGGACTTTTATTTGGTCATTCAACTACTCTATAATAACAGAAAAAATCGATTAAAATGAAAAAAAAACCGGATAGAAATTTTTTCTTCCATTTTCTTTCTTTTGTAAGAGTGTCTTTGTGTAAATATAAGACGAATAAGAGAGAGAGAGAGATTTATACTGTCACTGATGGTTCCAGCTGTCTCTCAATCTCATAAACTCACAATTCCAAAGAACAAATGAAATTCCCTACTAGATGAGATATCATTTGAATTTTAATTAACACTATTCAGTTACTAACAGGAAGGAAAAGTCTTTTCTTTCTTTCCCGCAGTAAATATTTTTTCGCACATTTCTCTATCGATCTAGGTGAGAATCAAACTTTTATGATGAAAGAGAAACAGCCAGAAAATTTTTTAATAGTAGCCCTGTGCTCAAAAATTTAACATCATGTTTTCATGTAATTAATTGTTTTCTTAGCCAAATAATGCCAGTGAGCCGACAAAATCTTAGAATATATACTTCAAAGTATCCTCTACAAACTGGGAAATCTTAAAGAAAATCTAAGTCCCTTAAGTTTTCAGATTTTTTTCGACTTTTCTCCTAGTCGATATTGTTCTCATTAGGATTTTTTCATTATACCGAATGACATCGCACTTTTCCAGTAAATTCAGAGCTTAAATCTAACTGTGAAAAGTACACTCTCTTTTGGGTTAGTAAGATCCATGTCGTAGAACATTTGTTTAACACTTGTGCTAGGTTTTTTACTCCTCATATGTACTGGATAAAATATCCATCGATTTTAAACATAATCTGTATGGCTTGGTCTAAACTACACGAAGTTAATCGCTCTGCTTCTTTGTTTATTTATTGATCTATTTATTAGTTAATTCAGTAAAAGTAGCTTTTCGAATGATTTTCGTAGTCTTAACTGTTGTTTTTCTTAGATATTCGCTTGTTCGTTTTATTTGTTTTTTTTCAGAAAATTGATATATTTTCAAATGAAGAAAAAAAAACACAAGGATTTCACACATTTACCTGTGTATAGACCAGCTAAATATCGTCCAATTTATACTAGAAATCAGTGACTAAACATTTTTATGAAGTATGCATGAGAAAAAGGAACGATCTTCCGTTGAAATCTCATTGTTAAAATTTGTTTTTTGGTTTGTGTAAAATAATTTTTTATTGTTTTTAAACGAATTTCTTTCATTATACTTTTTTCTACAATAAAATGAAGAGGAAAGAGCGAAAACGACGACAAAAAAAATATATAAGATTATTGTAAATAAATGTCCTTAACGGATGCGATGTAATAAGTTCAAGTTCAAGTTCAAATTTATTTTGCATAAGCAAGGACATCACAAAAGAAGGTAAACGTTTAGTAATTTATAACATCTGATAAACAGAAGCCTTAGTGATACCTGTATAACTAAAAACAAAAAAAATAAGAGAGCAAAGAGAAGATAAAATAAATACAAATAGAGTTGTTTAAGTCAAACCCAATTCCTGTCGAAGCATCTCCTTAAAACCTTTGTGACTATTCCGAAGTGCCAAGGGTGAAAGGCGATTGTTCCATTCTTTAGATGTTTTTGGTATAAAAGAACTACGAGTAGTTTTAAGCTTAAAGTTTGGAATTACTACCCGTCTGTTATGTCCTCGGCGTAAAGTCTGACGAGTGGTAAGAGGTGAGATTAGCTTGTGGGAAGAAATAGGACTTCTACCGTGATAGATTTTATGGAAGTAAGTGAGCCTGTAATATTGACGATGCACTGATAAAGCCAATAGTTTTAGTTTTTTGAGAAGAAAGTCTGGAGAACTTAAATAGTCTTGGAGAATAATACGAGAAGCTAAACGTTGAACCTTGTCTAACACTTTCAGATGAGAAATGAAATCAGAATCAAATAATACACAAGTAGGGGTCTGTGGGACAGTCCCAGTCTCGATCCCATCCTGATCCCGTGGGACTTTTTACGGGACCGGAATCCAGAAAAATCTTTTTTACGGGACCGGGACCTAGAGGTTTGCGGGACGGTCCCAGTCCTGCGAAATTGTCCCAGTCCCGTGGAACTTTTAAGACCGGGACCAGGTTTTTTTGAAAATAGTCTTGTATGAAGTATAAAAATTTCTTAGTTTCTGTGCCTGTTTATATGTAGACAGTAGTTCTGCGAGAAAGAATTCACACATAATTCGAAAAGTCCTCAGTTAATAATCTCATCCCATAGTGCTATTTTCCAGATTAGCTTGAATTAGTGTCGCGCTGACACAGTTTGTTCAAAGTTCA